GCATGAGTAGGGGAGGAGCAGAGAGAGAGGGAGACAGAATCTGAAGCAGGCTCCAAGCTCTGAGCCATCAGTACAGAGCCTGACGTGGGGCTTAAACTCATGAACCAGAAGATCATGACCTGAGCCAAAGTCAGACACTTAACCAACTGAGCCACCCAGGTGCCCTAATTTTTCTCTTTTTACATCTGTAGTGGTCATTCGAGCTTCCACAAATGTTCCATTTTCCCTTTTCTGAGCATATCATAGGACAGCGTTTCGCTGTCCCCACGTAGCATGGCCTGTGTGACTTACCTTGGTCATGAAATGGGAACAAAAGTGATGTGTGTCATTCCACGGCAAAAACATGAAGAACGAGCTTGTGATTGGTGATGGGGACTTCATTACCCCAGCTCTGCGAGACTGCGTGAGCTGTTTGGAGACAGCATCTTGGCCGGCAGGGTCGCTGGGTGGCCGTGATGGGCAGAGGGACTCCCTGTACTGAAAGAAACAAAACGTTGCCTTATGCCCCTGAGAGTTGTTTCTTACTGCAGCATGGTCTAGCCTCTGTTGAATAAGGCAAAAATGAAAGTTTAACAATAACTGGTCTCTTTTTATAAATTAGGGCAGATTCAAGTTTGTACCTGTAAAAACATGTCTTGCACTCACTTGCATCCTGATGAGTTTTTGCGGAGGGGGAGGGAGCGGGTCATGGAGACGCCGATGCACCGAGAAGCACACATGGGAGCCCGTCCTCAGAGTGCACATCTTCTTTCATGTGTGACTTAGCGGGAAAAACGTTGAGAACAGCAGATTATCACACTGGAGCTGTGAGGCCGGAGGGCGGAAGCATCTGTCTCCCTCGACGCTTGTGTCTCACTCACTGCTAGTTCATCAGGTTTGTTACGAACTGTAAGTGAATGTATCCAAATGCACATCCAAACTAGGAAAGTCTCAAGGCCGCTACAATTCTCTTTTGAAAAGTAGGGCACCATAAATAATTACTGGTAAAACATATGAAAAGGCCTTAGTTGGTATGCACTTAACCCTTTATAGTAATGTCTAATAGGAATTAGCAGAGGGCAGAGGTCGACCACTGTAGCCAATTACAACATTATGAGGCCAAGACACGTATGAATCGTGGTGTTTGCTATTGACACGGAACAAAACAGACCCGCGAACAAAAACAAGAACGGTTTTCTTGAGTGTGATGAACTGAAGTGATATTTTTAGCAGAGAGCAGAAGAATGCTTTTAGACGAGCTAAAATCTAGCTTCCGGTCAGGTGGCATAGTTACTATATTTGATATCGAAATCACCCCTCCCCCCTCACCCCCCAGCGTCTATTTCCCCTTCTTCAGGTAACTCTCCTGATTTCGTTTCATTTCCAGGTAGCTACACCTTCCGTGAGCACCTTGTGCTTGCAGGGAGGTGACTGTCCCCTGCGCCCACTGAGGGTATGCTATGGAGCTCAGGCTTCAGCTAATCTCCGCGTTCTTCTCCCATGGCTACATTGATCGGCTCAAGTGGATCGTCCACCAAGTGGATAGACAACTGTGGGCCAGTAAGACTGGAGGCGATTTTTTTCCTGTAACTCCCAAGGAAGATCCCTCTTTGCTCTTTTCAGAGAGCTTATGAGAATGGCCACCTCTCAGATCTCTCCAAGGATACCTGTGAAAGGCAGCAGCCTGAGAATTTGTTAGCAGCCAGATTACCCCTGTGAGGTAAGACCGGCCTAAGGGTGAATCTGCTGTTGTGGTGAGCAAAGAGGAAAAATGAAAAGAAACCTTGATTACATTGTTGAACTACTGACCTGAAGTAATCCAGAGGTCTGTCCTACCTGTAAACTACCAGCTGGACACAGTAATCTACGTGCTTCTAATGTTGAAGACTGTCTTTGTTGGGTTTTTTATTCTTTTAAAATTTTTTTAATGCTTACTTATTTTTTGAAGGAGAGAGAGAGACAGAGTACAAGCAGGGCAGGGGCAGAGAGAGAGGGAGACATGGGATCCGAAGCAGGCTCCTGGCTCTGAGCTGGCAGCACAGAGCCCAGAAATGGGGCTAGAACTCACGAACTGTGAGATCATGACCTGAGCCAAAGTCGGACACTTAACTGACTGAGCCACCCAGGAGCCTCTGTTGGGTTTTTGATTCTTTACATCAGACACACTTAAACAGATACAACTACAGACTGACTGCAAACCCAGTTGCCTAAAGACCCACATGGAACACAAAAATCAGAAAGTAGTTGCCCTTTCAAAGTAATGGCTTTCAGGAAACCGAGTCTAAGCTTCCTAAAATGATATATCATACTATACCCTCACAGTTCCAATTATGTTGAACAGAATGTAAAGAATTTCAGGCAGGGTCTTTTCAGTGTTTTGGGGAGATTAAGGATGTGTGATCAGGAAGGGAATGACAGAGAACAAAGAGAGAACATCGACCCAAAAACCAAAAAAGCTAATGTTATACTGGGCTTACTGTGTGCCCAGAAGTATCATGGGCAGTGGGTGTATTAATTCACCTACTCCCCGTAACAATCTTACGGTACAATTATATTTGTTTCAGAGAAGGAAACAGAGGCTTAACCAGAGGTTAAGCACTGTGCCCTTGGTACAACACAAGCTAGGGATCTGGCTCCAGTGCTGGAAGCATTTGCCATTTTGGTCACTTTTTAAGGAGACACCGAGAGGGGCCCCTAGCTAGGTGGCTCAGTTGGTGGAGCGTCCGACTTCGGCTCAGATCAGGTCGCGATCTTATGGTTCAGGAGTTCAAACCCCACATCGGGCTCACTGCTATCAGGGCAGAGCCTGCTTCGGATCCTCTGTCCCCTCTCTCTGCCCCTCCCCAACTTGCGCTCTCCCCAATTTTTTTTTTAAAGGAGATAGGTAGAAATCCCTCACTATCGATACTGGGCATTCTCTGAGGGCACTCTGCACTGAAACCCAGTGGACGTACGTAGGATTCATCTGGATGAAGCAAGATGTTCACACAGGGATGTACCTGGCAGAGCCTACGTGGACAGCGTTTGCAAATGAATCACGCCAAGGAATGAGGTAAACACAGGGAGTTCTCCAGCCAGTTACCTGCACAGACTTCACCGCCACCTACTTCCCTGCTGATGTCATCGAGAGCCAAAGCTGCTTCTTTGTAAACAGACTCTACCTTTCTTCCTCACTCCTACACACAAGCATGTTATATGAGGATGAAAAACCACCTATCTGGAAGAGGACATCTTTTGTGCTTAAATTGTGACGATGTTAGTCAAATCTAATTCAGCTGTGAAAGTCACTAAAAGAATGTTATTAACAGTTCTTTTTTTTTTTTAAGTATTTTTAAGTTCTTTTTTTTTTTTAAGATGAGAGCTTTACTTTTTAAAATTTTTTTAAATGTTTATTTTATTTTTGAGTGAGAGAGAAAGAGCACGTGAGGGAGGGGGAGGGAGAGAGGAAGACAGAGGATCCAAGGCAGGCTCTGCGCTGACAGCAGAGAGCCTGATGTGGGGCTTGAGCTCAGAAGCTACGAGATCATGACCTGAGCCGAGATCAAGAGTTGGATTCTTTACGGACTGAGCCACCCAGGCGCCAATTTTTTTTTAAGTTCTTACTTAAATTCCAGTTCGCTAACACTCAGTGTGATACTAGTTTCAGGTGTACAGTTTGGTGATTCAACACTGCCATTCAATACTCAGGACTCATCGCAGCAAGAGCACTACTGAATTTCCATCATCCATTTCGTCCGTACCACCCCCCCCCCCCAGCTTCCCCCTCGTAACCATCGGTTTGTTCTCTATAGTTAAGAGGCAGGTTTCTTGGTTTGCCTATGTCTTTTTTTCCTCCTATGATCGTTTGCTTTGCTTCTTAATGCTAGAAACACACTGCTTTCACTGTAAATGTAAATTATAAGCTCAAGGAGTTAAATGAGGCAGTTTTTATTAAGCTCCTTTTTCATTATCGCCAATGTTGTGGAAAGCATAATAGAAAACAACAAAAAAAGGCCTGGAGGTTAATATTTTTTTTAAATATTCACTTAATTTTCTTCTCCTCTGTATTTTTCGTCCTTTCTTTTTTTCTTCTTTTCCCAGTAAAGCTCTCCCACCCCACCCCACTCCAGCATAAGACCAGATCTCCACTCATTCAGGAAGGGCCCACAATAGACTGGAAAAAACGGGCTTTTGTGTCTTTGTTTTATAAAAGCCTAAAACCATGGGGAAAGAGATGGGCTATTCACATCCCAAAGACAGAGGAATGGAGAAGTTCCCCTAAACTCTCCCAGGTCCCTGGGCTTGGGGAAATGTGGAAGAGGCGGGGGTCTGGGACCCGTCCCAAGAGCACAGAGCTGTGCCCTGCATTAAGCAGCCTGCTAGGAAGTCTGCCAGCCCCAAGAGGGACGGCTACATTGTGCACATTGACAGAAATATAAGCAGCCTTCACGAAGATTCCTGGGCTCCCAGCAGGACGTGGGAACAGCAGAGGAACATTAAAACCGAGCACAGAGATGAGAAGCTCTCAGGGCTACCCTGTCTTGGAGCATTAACAGAGGATCCAGTGTCTTCCTGGTTGTGTTTTGCTTGTCGGCTTGTTCTTCTACCAGCCCAACAGCACGGGCAGATAGTCGGATCATAGTCGGATCTCAAGATGAGGTCTACAAAGTGAAAAGGTGTGGTACTTCTTGTAGACCAGGGTTTGGGGTACGGGGCTCGCGGATGAAAAGAGACAATGCGGTGAATTCTACCATAGGGTGTAGGATCTCGTGTATATACGGGCTACCGAGACTAAACGAACCTGAGAACAACAAACACAGAAAGTAGCCCAATGGTGAAGGAGATAGGAGGGTGATCCAAGTGAAACCCTGGAGAAGGCAGAATCTCACTTGGGATCTCAACAGAATACGTAAAAACAGGAAGACCAGGGGACGAAGCAGGGCTCTCTAGGCAATGTGATGGCACGCATGAGCACGCAGAGTTGAAGGTGAGCACATTCAAGGGTGCTAATGAGGAGACGCATCTGGCAGACTGAACCGAGGGAACAGTGAGCAACCAGAAAAATAAAGAGAGGCCGCCCTGTGGATGGTCTGGAATGTCTGGCTCAGAAGTCTGTATCAGATACCATAGGCAACAAGATACCCACTGGGAGTCTGGACCCTGACTGTGAAATAGTTTTTGAAAATTATATTCATGGGGGTTCTGGGTGGCCCAGTCGGTGAAGCATCTGACTCTGGATTCCAGCTCAAGTCAAGATCCCACGGTTTGTGGGATTTAGTCCCGTGTCAGGCTCTGCACTGACGGCTTGGAGCCTGCTTTGGATTCTCTTTCTCCTTCTCTCTCTGCCCCTCCCACACCCCTCTCTCTCAGGGTGAATACATACACTTAAAAAAAAGAAAGTTATATTCTAAGGCTAATACGACGTTGGCATAACGGATCGTGAAGAGCCAGGGAGTGATACTGGAACAAGGCAGCACTATGGGGCACCATTTGTGCAACCCAGGAGAAAAAGGAGAATGGGCCTGCGTTCAGGGGGGGATGGACAAAAGAAATGAGGGCATGAAAGAGCGGAAGGAAACATTCTGACGAGTGGAACTCATTTTGGCAATCGACACCGGGCGCAAGACAGTTCATCGCGTCTAAGCAGCGTCACTGGCAAAAGCCCTGTGATATATTTCAGTCTGCTATTGTAAGCTGCTGTTCACCCTTGTCCCTTGGGAGATTCGCCGTCTTGGTTTGGGCTGGGAAAGGATTACAAAAGTGAAGAGAAAACAAGTGTTTCCATCCTTGGAATGTTTTCATGCTTGTAATGTTCCGGTGGTACCACTGTTCAATGTCTTCTGACGCTTGGCCACGCTGTTGCATGAGGCGACTGCAAAGACAAACGTGTCCAACTCCAGGAACAAAGCCACCTAAGACTACTTGAATTTGTTAGTCCTGCA